TTTATCTCTTTTTTTTTTTTTTTAAAAAAAAGGTTTATATTATATATATAAAAAAATTGACGAGCCACGAGCTCACGAGCCAAGCCGAGTTCGACCCGCAAGTAAGGAGTAGAGCAGAACGAGCCACGAGCCGAGCTCGTGTGTGTATGGGCTCGGCCCATTGCCACCTCTATTTATAATAACAATCAGTGCCCATTGATTAGGATAGGCTTCTAACGGGCTCTGCTTTCATGTTTTAGCTTTACTTAGTTGCCTTCCGCATGGTGTATAGAATATTCTCAACATGCATGGCAGCATCTTTCAACAGAAATAGTTGCATTATTTAGTTGTGCACATTAAGTGAGAGATGAAATTACTTAAAAGACATGAGAAAAGGTCTAGCAAGTAGCAACGAGAGTTCAAGATTTTCTCTGCATAATAATGAGTGTACAAATTTAGTGTTATACACCATCTAAGTCCTTGAATTAATTCTGCTTACCGGATAGTCACAGTACTTTACCGCTGTTTGGTCTTCACGTTGCATGTGGACTTTAAACTCTAGAATAATTTTATCAATGGGACATGGTTCTTTATTTAGGATGTAGGGCTGTTTGAATATGCAGACTAAAGTGAAGAAAAATGGATATCTGATCCCCGGACCATTACACTGATTTCACCTGTTCGTCTAGAAAAATAAGCCTTCTCATGATCTTTTGCTACTTTCAGAACTCACTGAAAGTTTGGAGCTCTGCATGATATACAGTCTCTACCCAACCTAGATAGATTTTAATGTTACTTTTTTAAACTGAAATTTCTGAACTTGTCCTGGCTTTGAATACTTATCCTTGGACTTGAACTTTTAAGTAAAATGCTAATCAGCCGTTAACTCACAGTCCAGAAAGTGATTGAAAACGTATCATGTGTCATGCACTTGGTTTTTCCGTATACATATGTTATCCCTCTTTCTGAACTCTTCTTATGCATCTTAGGACCTTTTAAATGGAAAGCAGGAACTCTAGCTATAATCACATACAAACTACTATGCTCGTAGCTTATTTATATAGCTAAGTCAGACATCTGATGATTTCAGAAATTTTGGTTCTTGGTTGCGGAAGGAACATTCAACCGATAGATCCTCAACTTCGTAGCTTCATTCGTTCTACTGGCATGAAATTAGAAGCAGTCGACTCGGTAAGTATTTTCTGTTACCCTCTGTAGTCAAATTTTATGTTGTAAGCATGCTTTTTTGTGTTGGAAATAGTTTATTTAGATTGGAAACTCTCGCCAAGTCTCATCCCATTTAAATAGCTCTGTAAATAAGAAAGGATTGAGTTGAGACTGAGGACCTGATGGAGTCATATTTAATCACTGCCACATGAAAAATTATTGTGTTGTGATTCTTCATCTTACACTACATGGACCTGGACCTTCCCAGTTTGTGGGTATCTCCATTTCTGCTTCACCTTTCCTTATCCCTATCTGCTCATCTAGCTGCAACATCTCGGTGCCGCTTCATGCGCTCTCTCTTTCTTCACCTACTAATACTTGGCATCATTGACCTACCATCATGAATTGCCATAACTCTGTCACTTAGTCCTCTGTTAAATTGATATGCAGAGTCTCAAAGTGATAGTTCCTTTTAATCATACTCAGCTTAGGATTTTCTTAGTAAGCTGTGTGTAGCCATATGGAAGGGGAATGGTGAAGAGAGAGGAATATCTGGATTTGGATTATGAGACGTGATCAACTAACAATACGCCGGGGAAGTGGGTATATGAGAAATTACAAATGAGGCATTATGCTCAAGATTTTGTCGTCGTCAACTGTTAATGCTTGCAATTTGAGACTTGAAATGGGTGCGGACTTTCGTAGGGATCTCATGAATCAAAAAATTGAGGTTCTTATTTTTTCTGACTGGGATTTGCATGAGAAAGGTGAACTTGTGCAGTAAATCATTACCCACACATCTGTGGTGAACTTGCAGGTGTATGGATACTTGAGTCCACTCTTGAACTCAAAGCAAAAAAAGATGTACACCCATTGCCCACACATCTTCCATCTATGAACACTAGCTCTTGGCCCTTCACTACCCCTTTAATTAACTACCAGTTCACACCAATTGGCACCCTATTCTGTCCACTGATGAGAAGAGACGCAATGTACCTGAAATCAGACCGTGACCGTAAATATCCTATGTGGCAACACATTGCATGAGATAAAGTGAGCAAGGAGTGGTTGTTTGCCAAAGTTCACCTGCTCATCTACATACCTATATAGTGTTGAGGCGAGTTGGTGCTCAAGTTCTTGGTGCTCAAAAGTTTGCCCAAATGCAAATATGTGATTGTTTCATATGATGGTATCATGATATATAACAATGTGTTTTACTTCACGCATAATATATATCAGCTCTCCACTTGTCCACTTCACACATGTTTGTATGTTATTAGCAGCTTGATTACATCGCATAAATATCAACTATTTTGGGTCTCGACTCCTATCTCATCTTCTGAATATTGTCCTAATCTATTCTTCTCTTCTTCTTATCTTGCAGAGAAACGCTGCATCAACCTACAACGTATTGAACGAAGAAGGCAGAATCGTAGCTGCAGCTCTTCTCCCATATGGAGTCACTTCTTGATGCCTATATTCTAGATGAACATGTTTCCAGAGACAATATCGCTTCCTGAATGTATCCCCCTCTTTAGAAAGAGATTAACAAGTCTTCTTTTAGTGTCTCTCTTTCTCTCGAGTCCCCTTTAGAGTTTTTGTTTTGTTTGGTATTCTTAATTCTAAAGAATTTATGATGTCAAAATCATTACACAAAACTGGTTTAAACTTCAAAGTGTAATTCGAGTAGATCCTGTATTTTTGGACAAGCTGAAGTTTGGGAACTTTGGATGGATTATGCTACAAGTGCATGTACATGTCATGCATGTCTTACATATGGTTTTACAAGCGTGCATTAACCGGAGCTTGCTAGTAAAGCTCTCCTACCAATGTTTAAGTTGGATAATGAACTTTGTAAAGAGACAATATTCTTACCCAGTAAAGAAAGTACAATAATGTTCTCAATTGACGGCAGGTGTAATTAAAGGCCTTTTGATACATTTATTGTGAGTACAATTTTTGCTCTTTTGGAAATCAAGTTACAAAGTACTTATACAGCTCATGATATTATTATTTGTATATATTATTTATTTCGTATCTATATAAAATTTATAAATATTAATATTAATAGAATATTTTATTACAAAATATATACATAATGTGCATACAATTTCATTAAACGAATAAATATGACCTATATAAAAAAAATCAACGACAAAGAAAAATAAAATAGATGGTGGGATGCTACCGTTCAATTGAAAAGGGGGGGGGGGGGGGGGGGGTATTTCTCGAGCGAAATAAGGATATATTTGACTGCTATGGGTTAAGTGTTGAGCCTTGGTCACAATCTGAATATATTGACATGAGTTTTCATACACACATCGAGGTAAGCATGTAATGGGGGAAATTGATTTAATTTTTGCACTGTTGTAAGTGTTCATTTGTTTGATTATTGAATTCCAATCTTGAGACATGACATGTTGTCTAACCATGTTTTGTGTAGAGTTTAAGCTACATTTTTGTTTGATGGCAAACAAGTTCAAGTTTGGGGGAGTTTGATAAGTGCGTTTTTACACACTTATTTTTTATGTTTTGCTCAACATGGTGAATGTAGCGGAATTGAGAAGAAATACGGAAAAATGGACCAAAATGAAAGAAAATGAAAGTTTGAGGACCAAATTGCAAATGCTCAATATTTGATTCGGACCACAAGAAGATACTTTGAAGACTGCTAGAAGACAAAATGTAACTAGAACTCAAAACGGAATGGAATATGATCAAAATATTATCAAAATTAATTTCCAATCCGCACTTGATATATTCCAGTTTTTTAGCCGAAAATTGAGACCCATTTTTGGCATAGTAAACGTTCGAAATGGAAGAAATCTATTTCTATCAAAGTTGTATATACCCCTTTGAGTTATCTTTTCAACTCACTATGAATTGCCTAAATCCGATATCGGGAAAGAACGTTACGACCAAAATATTAACTAATGTGTAGAGACAAAAAAATCCGCACGCGAATGCAATTTTCCTTATTCGATTGGAACTCTTTTGGAAACCAATTTGGACGTGATTTTCATCCAACTTTTGACTCCTACAAATACTTAATAGCAAAATACATATTGGGAACGCCTCCATACACTTTTCTCTCATCTTTTGGCTCAAGAACTCCATGAAGAACTAAACAACTTGGTGAAGTAAGGGAGGAACTCATTGGAATTGGTGATTTCACATCTTTTATTTATATAATTTATTATTTTTTGGTAAACGATTCTAGGTTTAGATTTCTTCTTCATAAATTTATTTTGAAATTAATTTAATATTTTAAAAAATTGAATATTTTACTTTTCTTCTAATGCACTGGACATATAAAAGTACTATTTTTAACTGTTGCTTAATCTTATACTTTATTTTTTTGGTAAGAGTTATCTTCAACCTCTTCTTTTATTGCCCTTAATTTTAAAAAATGGAGACAAATCAAAAAATATATTAAGTTGACACGTGCATTGCACATGATAGGAAGAAAGCTTGGCAACGTTTTAACTTTCGAGGCTTTCTTTAAGAATGAGGATTTCTTTATAGGGACTAGGAGTGCAAAAATAAAAAATTGATTCAGGGGGACTGTGCTACAAGAAATAAATATTAGAGAACTGAAATGCAAAAATTAAGGTAAAGGTTGAGAATTTTTTTCTTTTTCCAATTTACTCACTTTTTATTTATAAATTATAAATAGATTAGCTCACAGCGAAACATGCACGTTTCTCCGCACGTACAGCTTCCCTATGTTATCAGTTCTGACCACCCCAAGTTGGATTTGAGAGGGCCATGCACTTGCAGTTGCCGGTGCTTTCGACTTTTGATCGTCCGGAGCTGTTCCGCCGTTGTCGGTGAAAACCACGCTGGTAATATGGGAAGGGTTTGTAGATGATATGAAGTACCCCAATCGACCAGTTGTTTACGGTGAGCAGTGTTTTCATCTCTCTGTTGCATTTTTATTGTGGAAGTAAGTTTATTATGGTAAAAAACTAGAGGTCGATGGAATTTTTTTTCCTTAAAATTGAATTATATTTTTGAAGAAATTTGGCTAAACTGATCAAATCCGTAATTTGATCATAGGTAATAGAGATTTGAAACAACGTAATGAAAATTTACTTCATTGTATATTTACCAAAACCCGTCAATTTGTAGTGGAGATCTGAAACTATGTAATCAATGGAATTGAAAATTTAGCTCACTCTAAATCTGATTAAAACTGATCAAATTTAAAAATCAACCATAAAATTTGAGGACATGATGATCATAAACTTTTAAGGACTATAATAGTGTTCAATTAAAACTTTCCTTGAAGTTGTTATTCATAAGAAAATGAAAGTACAGAATCAGCAGCTATAAGTGCATCATATAGAGTGAAAGGGGTTTCCAGGCTAAAAGCAATAAATTTGACATGTTACTCATCAAAAGCAACTTTGATTGCTCAAAATTTATGGTCACACTTATTTTATAGAAACAATATTGATTTGCAAATCCATCATCTTAATAGAGCTTATATGATTTAGTGGTGAGTATCCTTAAGTGCTTTCCAGTTTAAAGAAACAGATGGTAAACGATATCTGAACTGACTTATTTTGGAGCTTTCCGTCTCTAATTGCAGAATTCATTAATAAGGAGGCCATGTGAATCCAAGCTGAGTAAAATGTTCTTCTTTTGCAGAGGCTTTTCTCTTCATTCTTCATTCTTCATTTCTCTGAATCTGGATAATAAAATGTGACATCTTTTTTATGGATATTCCCCCACGGGCCACAATCAGTTTCCAGTAATTTCAAAATTTATTCAATCTTGTAACTTTGATAAACTGCTAAAACTCTGAGATCTCGTGGAGTACTCCTTGACTAATTTTGAGAAGAAAGAATTCTCTCTTTCCAATAGCTTAGTTGGTGTGTCATACTCAGCTATTCTTCCTGCTCAAAGATAAAGAAAGTTTATCCATTAAAACCTCAAAAGGACAAAATGACGCTCTTGTTCACACTAGAGTACTCAAATTTTTTGAAGTAGAATACTCTTCTTACCATCACTGAGGACCAATACTAGATCGCTATCTATTACTGTGTGGATTCTGTGAGCTATTGTGACAACAGTTCGATCTTTAAATTCATGAGTAATGATCTTCTGTATCACTCCATCAGTTGCAGAATCAACCGAAGCTGTTGCTTCATCTAGAACAAGAATGCTGCTTTTCTTTAATAAGGCTCTTCCAAGACAGAATAGCTGCCTTTGGCCTACACTCCAGTTCTCTCCATTTTCAACCACTGTTAGAACCATACTTTTTATTAGGTTTGAAGGGATAAATTGAATTTGCAATATTAGCAAAGACTGAAACCATTGACAGAAGTCAAAAATGAAAAACACCTGTAGCTTCCAGCTTTTCTGCCTTTTGACGTATGACATCTCTGAGTTGACATTTATCCAGAGCCTGGAAGAAGCTAATTTAGTGGCAACCTTGTTCTATAAAATAACTTATATGGGTTCATTTTACTTGATGTTTCCTCATTTAGAGCTAAAAGTTGTAGTTGTTTTGCTTGATGTCTGAACAATTGAGTTTTTTACCAGCTAACTGTAGCACAACGTCAATGTTGTTGTTACCCGAAAAGTAAAAATCGAAATAAGATTTTTTTTTTTCCCTTCCAATCCACACCAAAAGGTTAATGCTCTTATCCCTTTCTTATCTTCTTTTCCTCCTGGAGATTGCAGTAGGGGGCTGGGAGCATCAAGACCATCATTTTAGTTTATGTTCAAATTATCTTGTCTGCCCGTCTGTGGAGTCGTTTATTCGAGTTATAACAGTTGATGACATCTCAATATATTTTTCTTACCTCCCAAATTGCAGAGTCAGGATATTGGTCGAGTGGGTCAAGATTTCCTCTAACTGTTCCCTCAAACATTGTTGGATCCTGAGGAATGATGCTAAGCCTTGATCTCAAGTCATGAAGCCCTATCTTGGATATATTGACATCATCAATGACAATTCTTCCCTCTCTGGGTTCTACTGTTCGAAAGATTGCCTGTATGAGTGTCGACTTTCCGCTCCCCGTCCTTCCAACAACGCCAATTTTCTTCCCCCCAGGAAATGTGCAGGTAATACTTTTCAAAACAGATGGAAGATGTTCAGCATAGCGAATCTACATGGAGAAGAATGTATTCAAATTAGCAAATTAAAAAATATTTTAGTATTTATTCTTCCCTAGTAGGATTTGCTTCATACTATGCAAATATAAATTTGTGAAGCTACTAGGTATTTGTAAATTTGAAGCTGATTTTCAACGTGGAATCAACTTAACTTCCAATTACACTATATACGTGCGTATTGTATTTATGTAGCCAAATAATGCCCGTAAACAGTATACTCATTTTGACAGTGATAACCTTTTCAAGACTCTTACCTGCAAATTTGTGAAACAAATTTTTCCAATATCTGGCCAGTTGTCCGGAGGCCTACAATCATCAATCACAAGAGGGGCTTCACTTGCAAGATTTGAGTACTGAAGAATTCTTTCAACTGATATCATTTTATTTTCTGCATTGCATATGTTCCATATAACTGAAGCTTGCAGAACATTCAAATTTATTCCATAAGTGACTGCTAGCCCTGCAATGCCTGTAAGATATATGGGTAATGAGTTCCGTGTGCTGGTGTCCTCAACTATCAATTACTTCGTCTTTTGTCAGAAGATAACATAAAACATCAGTTAACTTAATTGTTGCATGTTTTATCTTTAGTGGTATTTACATCAAGATATATGATTTATCGTTAGTGGTATTATAGAAAAATTAACTCATGGCATAAGAGTCTTACATTAGTTGTTATGGTTAACTGTTATAGTAGTAATATATTCTTGTGAACCAAAAATCACAAAAATGTCTTTTTACTTACTAGGATTTATGATCCCTTCAGGAAGTGTCACTAGCAAAACCAGCGAGAATGCAAACACAAAATTGGACAACTGATTCAGTCTGAAAGAAAGCCACTCCATTGCTGAGACATTATGAAACCATGGCCTTGAATGGTTATCGATGAGGCAGAGATTTGCATCAGTGAAGCGTTCTTGTTGCTCAAAAGCACGAATTGTTGCTGCTCCTGCAAGTGATTCTGCAAAATGGTGAAGGATTGGAGCTCGTTGTATCCCCGCTAGACGCGCCAGTTCTCTTGCAGTTGGTATGTAATATTGCTGACCACCAACAAGTTATAGTCATTATCTAAAGTTCCATGATTTATAGCAAGGGCTTCTAGGAACTTGAAAGGCGCCTATAAGTAAATTTTTAGCTCAAGTGATGTCACATACAAAATACATGCGTACACACTCACACGAGCCAAAACATTAATATTCTGGATGATAGTGGTATGGCCCGGCTGGGCCATCCACACCGTACGGTTAAACTACCATTGAAGGGAGATGTTGCTATCTGATGGCAATTGTTTTTCGATAACCCATGCCAGAATGTAGCGTGAAGTACAAAACTATAAAAGATGACAATAAAAACTTCCTATAAATCCTGTCAAGATTCTGTAGACGTAGGATAGGCCATCTATATGTTAAGTACTTTTAAAGTCCATAATATAAATTGAAAGTTTCACTTCTCCAACAAATTTAATGCGCCTACTCACCTGGTACCAGATGCAAATGGCTGTCACCGGAATGAAGATGACAAATACTTCCCATGCAACTTGTGACATGACTGCTATAGTCCCAAGAAGCTGGATTACTGAGAAAGCACACCAACCCAATTTGTTTGCCATCTCCAAATCTAGGACGCTTTGGTCTGTAGATGCCTGTTAAAAATTGGAGGTTGAGAATATTAAGAAAATTTGAACTCAAAAGTTTTCAGAAAAAGAAAGTATATGGAAACTTTAACCATATAGTTATCAAACAATAATTTCCAATTGATTTTGCACATTGAAGTCTTCATACTCATAGACATCATTTAGCATTTCAAGATTTTCCATTTATGTGTTCTGTTATCTGTTCTTTAATATCTAGAAATAAAAAAATTTCAATTCTGGATCCTTTTTTCATCATAGCAGTAAAAAAATTGATGATTGGAGGCACTAGGGGCATAGTGTGTTGAAGAATAAACTGCTTGAGGCAATACCCAATAGGTCTAAATTGACTAAGACAATGAATTTATCGTCGCCCAACACCTTATGAAGAGCTCTCTGCTTGAAGTTTCCACCAATGTGGTATACACGGGACATTACAATCTCCCTTCCTTGTGAAGGCTATATCCTCATCATGGAATAACCACATTCCAGGACCTTCTATAGTACACTTCTGTTGGGATCTGAGGACACCAATACTTGGCAGTTGTCTATGTAATGCCCCAAATCATAGGCTGTACCGCCTATGGATTGAAATATCTACTTGATCAATACCCACCAGGCCCATAATGGCTAAGCCAAGTTAGTTTTTGAAACATCCCACTTAACTCCACGTTCCCTCTTATATGGAATAATTGGGATGTCTCAAGAAGATAGGAATAATGAGTTTTTTTTAGATGAGATCATGATCGAAGGAATTAGGAAGCTTAAAGAAGTCACTTATATAACCTGCGCCTCTTTTTGGCAAGTTTTGTCAATTATTTCTTATGAATTGTTAGTTTCAGTAGGCAATAGAATTGTGTTGGTGATGTGAAAGAACAAACAAGATTTTACTTATTTTTGCTCCCATCCTCTTCCCACTTCATTGAATAATTTATAACTATCCAAACCTTCATTCTTTAACAAGTTGCATAATCATACGTATTTATTTTAGGAATTTGTCTCTTAAATGTGATTATTGTATTTTTTTTTTAAGATTACAGGCATGATTGTTTCTCGCATGATATTGTGTTAGCTGATCTTCAGTTAATCAAACCAGAATAACATCCCATTTACAACAAACAGAAGCTTACATACCCGATTTAAGATTCTTCCTGCCGGGGTGGAGTCAAAGAACGACATTGGAGCACGGAGAACACTGTGCAGCATTTTGCTGAAGAGCTTTTCTGCTGTAAGCAACCCCACAATGGCCACTAAAGAGGCTCGGATCAACACACAAAGTGAACTTCCGACAGCAAGAAGTGTATATACAAGTAATATGAAATGTATCCCAAGTTTGGGCTCAACTGCGCCTGTCGGACAAGCCCATGCCATCCAGTAGTTGCTGGCTATCTGTAACACTTGAAATGATGATTGCGCAAGAAGAATAATTGGAACTAAGACACCTCCTTTCACGGTGGTCAAGTAAGACAAGTAAACGTCTTTTCCAATGCTTCCTTTCTCTCTTTCTTCATCCTGTACCAACCTTCCTTTTTCTTTCATCTCGACACATAAGTTATGCTCTGAGTCTTGCTTAGTGTGTGGAAATTCTTCATTTATAGTGTTGTCTGTGTCTGTTTCATTTTCAATTGCTGGATATTCAGATGTTCTACTTGTGCTTTCAACTGTTGAGACTGACTCTAGAGCTTGGCAGTGAGCTCCAACTAGAACTTCAAATCCAATATTTTGTTTCAAAAGTTCTTCAAATGTACCAGCTTGTGAAATTCTTCCATTTTGCATCACCTGTTGCAACATTTATGTGAAACCTTTAACTAGAAATTGCAATCATGTGTGTTGAAGTCTAGTTATATTCAAGGAATAAAGATCAAACAAAAGCTTATTTTCTTTATGTTTTACAATACCATCAGCAATTTTTGTATAATTTATTATAATATGCCAACATATGCAAGGGTCCAGAATAAGATCATACATGGGTGAGAATTTGCAACTCAATTTCATGCTTAATTGGACTGAACAATTAATTTTAACTGTGTCTTACTGCTTAGTACTTACCATAATGAGGTCTGCTGCAGGAAGAAATTCAACTTGGTGTGTAACATAAAGTATTGTTTTGTCCTTGAGAATTCCCATCAAGCAGTCCTGTGGATTATGGATTATCAATTTTCGTCAATGTTGCTTTATTTCAGGAGAATGCTGAGGTACCTAGAAATCAATATCAAGACACAGTCTCTAGATTTACTAACCTGAAAGAGTTGTGTGCCAGTATGAGCATCCACGGCGCTGAAAGGGTCATCAAGTAGATATATGTCGGCATCCTGGTATACGGCACGGGCAATTTGTATTCTTTGCTTCTGGCCACCACTCATATTTATTCCTCTTTCTCCTATTTCAGTCAAGTCTCCTGCAGCGAATAGCTCAAAATCCTTCTTCAAAGCACAGGCTTCAACTGTTCTATCATACTTGGCACTATCATATGGCTTGCCAAAGAGTATATTCTCTCTGATATTTCCCGTCAGTATCCATGGGGACTGTGGAACATAGGCCTTGGAACCACTAATCTTCATGATACCAGACAGTCTCTGCATCTCTCCAAGTATGCATGAGAGTAAACTGGACTTCCCAGATCCAACAGGACCACATATCGCCACCTTCATTCCCCTTTTAACTACAAGCCGTATCTCATCAAGTGTCGGACATCTTGATTCCATGTCCCAGCTGAATTTACCACCATCAATCTCAATCTCAAATTCTGTCAGATCTCTAGGAACAAATTCAACTGCATCTGAATTGATCTCATCTTCCTGGAGATAAGAAGAAATTCTATCAGCCGAAACTTTCGCTTGTGCAATTGTATTGAGTAAATCTGGTAGATTGAATATAGGATCTTGAAGCATCCGGAATGTAGCCAATGCTGATAGGACTCTTCCAGCAGTGAGAGGAATCTCCATCAAAACACACCCACCAAAAGTAATCACGGATATAAAAGTTGGTGAGCCCCAGAAGATGAATGTTGTTAATGCTTGTAATCTAAGTGATTTCCATAACCAATTATGCTCTGTTCTCCTTAGGCTTTCTAGATTTTTAAGGTAATGAGTATCCCATGCTTGAAGTTTGAGTGTCTTCATGTTTCGAAGAACTTCTGATGTGGTTTTCATTCTGTCATCCTTGGCCTCCATAATTTTTGTCTGAAATCTTTTCTGAATCCTTGTCAATGGTATGTTTACAGCCATCACTGTTAAAGTTGCAGCTAATGCTATTAGAGCTCCCATTCCTAGATTTATGTGTAAAACATAGATTGCTAGGGAGATTTGTACTGGCAACATCCAAATTATGTTCAAATACCATATGAAGTCCGTGATTCTTTGGACATCCACACTCATATAGTTGATGATCTCTCCAGTGTTGCAGCTCTGGCGTGATTGGCTTGACAGGATCAGGCCCTTTTTGTATATGTGTGATATCAAAGCAGCTCGAAGTCTGAGTCCTAGCTGGCGTGCTCCGAAAATCCACTGCCTCTGTGCTGTTGTCTCGATTAGTTTTGCCCCAAGGAAGCCTAGTGCTAGAAGGTAGCCAAAACCCAGGCTCCTGAATTTCTTTTCGGTTAGGAAATCCACAAAGTAATTAATTAGATATGGTCCTACATACGATGTTCCTGCATTTGTAACTGCAAAAAGTGCATTGATGGCTGCCTTTTTTCTTCCAAATATGTAAATTGCCCTATAGATAGATGATCTTGTTGTTCCATCTTTTTCTTTTGTGTGCTTGAGGCACTCGTCGAAGTACAGGGATAGGAAACTCGCGGAGTCCTTGATATCAATATCTGGGACTTCATCCTGGTCAAGAGGCTTCTTAATCCCTGTCTCAAATAGTGAATTAAGCCAAGAAAAGGTAACAAGTTGAACCAGAGTAGCTTTCCCATAAGGACAGTCTCTTTTTACTTCTGAATGTTTTTCAGTTCTCCCATTGAGAAGGGGTTCTGTGGTGCTGTTTGAGATGCTTGGAGCTATGCCTGTGCTTCCGTTGATTGATACACCTAGTAGACAGATAGAAGCGAGAAAACTGACTATATCTGCATATTCTTGCACCCCCAGGTTGTCATGATACGTTATTGCGTGATGGACATCAATCATAGCTCGAACCAGAGATAACAAGAAGCTGGATGTCCACCAGATTCTCAAGATCCATGGGAACTTGTTATATTTTCTATTTAAAATCCTGCACAATGCAATCGATGTGATTGCCCATGATATTATTTGCATAGTTCTGGATGAAAGAACTGGAACCCTGGATTCGCACTGAGCAGCACTTTTACTTTCCAAAATCAGCAAAATCAGCAGTATCACACAATGAGTACACAGCACCACAAGGGAACAAATTATGCTGAGTTTGTAAGAGAGGCCTGATCTCAGACCTGTGGGATTTTTTTCTACATTCTTCACCTTGTTTCGGCCTCTGCAAAGTGATTCTGTACAGTTTCTTACGCAGTGGAGCAACACGATGCCCAGGAATCCAAGTTGTAGAACTATGCTGGCATCTTCCCAGTTGCAGGAGGAGATTATATCTGGCCATGCAACCCGAAATTGTAGGAACCTCAACTCTGTCAAAGATTATAAAACAAAATGAAATCAGCAGATACAAGTATTTTACTTCATGCTGTCATCTTTAAAAATTAAATAACCTATTTCTGATTTTTTTTATTTATTTATTATTTATTTTTTTTGGCCATAGCTATACAAATTTCACCATCAGGGTCTAAACCATTTGAAAGGAGACGATAATTTGCAAGTGGAATTTACAATTGCACCTAAGGTGACAATTTATCATGCTGGCATTAGCCTGGCAAGAATTTAAATGCATTTAGTCACTATGCGGAAGACAACCTACAAATGTCCTGTATTTAATGCCTGTGTAAAGATGATAATGCCGAGGAGAAGCAGAAAACTGAATCTAGCAGCAATCATCAGGCAAAGAAATTCAACGAGTTTCCTACAGTAGATGTCTTCAGGATTATGCATTCAATGGGAAATGCTATTCACTTGTGTCCTGGAAAACTGGTGATGATGGAAATTCTCCAGGTTCTCTAATACCTAATATCCAACTATATAAAATTGTTCTTAGACTCGAAACCAGCTAGAACGTAGATTCTGGTGTGAATAAATACTTTTGATGCTTACTAGTGGAAAATCACTGGTGCTTTTTTGGGATTTTCACATAAATTCCTCCTTTCTTTCATAGACAAGTACATGCATTAGTTGATTTCTCATTCAATAGGATTTTGATCTGTTTGTCATTAACAAGTGCTTTGTTGCTCAAATTTTCTGAATCTATATTCTATAGTAACATCTTGTATAACTAACCTAAATGGTATACCTGAATAGGGAATCATGCAGGATTTCCAAGTAATGGGGATATAGCCATATTAACTTACTATGTAGAGAGTATAAACCAAATGTTTGCAAAGTTCACTGAAATACTATCAAGTTAAGGATTATGGATGTGAAAATAGTGTGTTCATCGTCCGCAGAGAGAGATAATTTATTGTTGGTTGTAATACTATGACTGCTATATGAATGATCACCTTGTCTGTGTGTATGTTGTTATCAAAACCTTTTTTTGTTGGTCATATGAAATGATACGTCTTCCCTCTTAAATGCTTGACCAGATTGTAACATTATCCATACAGATCAACCAAGTCATACATCAAGGAGAAAATTACTTGATCAAGCATATTTGGATGGAAAATGATACAGCATGGTGTACAGCCCCCTCACATGTGAGGGCCCACCATGAATAAAAAATTTGTAGGCCCTCTCTATGTGAGGGGAGTGTACACCATGCCATGGTGTACGTGTAGCAAAGTTCTATTTGGATAGCAGGTTGTCAGTTTGATATATCTACATTGCCCATAGAATAAAAAAAGGCAAGTAATTTTGGACGCTAACCTAGAATAGGTCTTTAGTCTTTGTCTCTTTTTTTTCTGAGTCGGCACGTTGTTATACTTTGTTGAAATTATTTTTTGATGGGTCTCCGATGCTGTCTTATTTGTTAGCCTCTTTTGGAATATTTTATATTATAAGAATCTATCGATTCTTTTTTTCAATTTATTATTTTTATATCAGGAGCCTGCAGATCCTTTAAAATCACTCTTTGAAGATATTGGTAAATTTTCATGTGAATATCTTTGGCTGGAACATGTTCCATGTGAAAAGGAATACTGGGGCAAATGCATTTTCATACTACAGTGAATCCCTGAAGTGAGCCCCACCTGTCCCCCCCACCAAAATAAAAGGAGAATTTTTGTTCTTGGAACTTAGGATTTAGCAGGTAGATCTAAATCCAATAAATGACTTCCCTTTCAGGATCACATTCAGCACCGTATTTTTCTCTCATGCACATGTACACTGATGAGCTTTGACAGGAACTGGCTATAATATTAAAACCGAAAATCTAACCAGCTATGTTGTACAAATACTTCAACTAGAGTAACTTGTTCGTGCCACACAAGTATCGGACAACAACACTTCTCGAACACTCTATCATGGTCACTTTTCTTTTTTTTATCGGAAATATTATATATTTTAACTCAAACTTATTATAAAGTACTCATATTTAAAAGATTTTTTTAAAAAAATTAATATCAAGTATAAAACTAAATTTTTCGTATATAAATTAAGAATTTTAAAGAATTTAATCAACGTATCGACGACGTATCTGTGTCCGTGCATCATAGCTAACCAGCTTTTTCCATTAAAATAAAAATCTAAATGAAATTCCATGCATCAATCTCAAACTCTTCTTCATCTTTCTTTACATTTTTCGAAACAGTGATGAATAATCTACATCTTAATCTCAACCTTCTTAGCATTCTGTATCCAAAAGGACAAATTGGAACAGTTTTCAAATGGCAAAACCAATGTTTTGTTGTAATAAAAAATGGGAAGAAAATATAAATAAGTGAAACATGACTCTGACCACAGAATGAACATCATATCAGAATTCAACAATTACCTTGAAATTGGA